CCCACCCCCACCTCTCCAGAGGTGAGGTGCCTCAACCCTCTTAAGTCCCTGGGTTTGGGATGCCTACAAGTAAGCTTTTAAGGAATTAATTAAGGCTCACTCCTCTTTTAAAGTGTGGCTAGTGAGGGTGTCATCCTCTACCTTTTACACCAGAGCCTTGCCTAGCAGGTGGGAAACCTGAGTTTTATTTTGCCTCTTCAGTTTGAGGGGCTTAACCTCCAGGCTGAAGGGTGGGCTTGGATGGGACGGGGGGTCAAGCCCCTAAACCTTTAGGCTGAAGCCTGATTGCTGTGCAGAAAGGAATACAAGTTTCATAGGGCAAAGCCACAACTTGACTCTGTAGTCTTGGGATTAGGATGCTCAGCTTGGTTTAGAAAAGCCTGGGTTCTAGTCCTTACTCCCATCACTCCTTGTACATTTTACCAGAGACCAAGGATGGGGAGGTTCAGACGCACTACTTTAAATGCTGCTGCCATAGTGAAAAGGAGGTTGGTATGATTTCCTAGCTTCTGGTGAGTTCACCCCCCTCCTTTCTACAAGCTGCTGACCCTGGGGCTGAAGAAAAAAAGTTTTGCACTGGGAATGGACAACTGCTGATATTTTTTAACGTTTCCTCCCTCCCTCCCTCCCTTACACACACACACACACACACACACACACACACACATTTCCAGCGGCCTTGCCGAGCACTGTGCTGTTCTCCCGTTATGCTCAGTATCCTTCTCAGGAGCAAAGTCTAAACATTTCCATCAAGTGCACTTACTGTGATTTTGCTTGCCAAGCACCGCCGCCTCCTTCTTTGGTTGTGGTTAGGAGAAAGCATTTTTGTTTAAATGGAAAAACAAACGAAGAGCTACCCATATCTCTCACAGCTTCTCTCTGCAAACGCACACACCCGCCTGGAGGGCAGGATTGATTGTCAGTGAAGGTGGAGGCTATTTCTGTGGGAGCTGCCTTGTTAAAATATTGACAACAGGCCACCACACTGAGTCGCCTATGACATCATTGCCAGGGGTGGAAGCACCATTTTCATCCAGTCTCTGCTGTATAAACAGTTCTCACTCTGTCCTGTCTTGACCACCGTTTCTTTTTAGCTTCTCTTGTCCCTCTTTCCTCATTTTCATCTCCTCTTCTTTGTATTTCTTTTTCTTCATAATTAAGGTGCTAAGGCCCTGCCATCTGGCCCTTATTCACTGCTGTGGCTGCATGTAGGGTCATAGCAGCCAGCAAGGCATGGATGATAAATTTTCCCAGGCACCACACTGGATCTCTGGAGAGGAGCTGCAAGCCCCACTGTTAGCTGTGAAAGTGGGAGGATACTGGAGGCAGGAAAAGGCATGTTATGGGGGTTCTTGGCCATAGCATATAAAGCTAGGGCCACTGAAGCTTGTATGCAAACCATAGAAAAATAGGACTGGAAAAGACATCAAAAGGGCATCTACAGTCTAGCCCCTTGCCCAAGGCTACCATCCTTATCTAAACCACTCCGAACAAGCATTTGTGTAATCGGCACCTAGACTCTTCCAGTGACGGAGACTCCACAGTCTGAGTGACCTGTTCCAGCTGTTACTTACCCTCAGGGCTAGAAAGTTCTTCCTAACGTCCGGCTTCAATCTCTTCTTGCAAAATCCATGCTGGCTCTTCCTGATGACGTTGGTTTTCCTTTAGGTGTTTTAAAATAGATTCCTTGAAGACCTGCTCCATCCTCTTTCCAGGTACTGAGGTCAAACTGACTGGTCTACACTTCCCCAGATCCTGCTTCTTCCCATTCTTAAAAATGGGCATTATATTTGCCCTTTCCCAGTCACCCACAGACTCATGCAATCTCCACAGGTTCCCATGATAATCAATGGCTCTGAAATTACCAGGGGTGTGTGAAGCGGGTCCTATTCAATTTGGATTCGGCCCGAATCAGGGACAGTGATTCAATTAATTGATTCAGATCACAGTCCCTGATTTGATTCAGACATGGACACAGCTTTAAAAGTTTTTTCTACATACCTTGAGGTAGTAGCATGGCTCATGAACACTGAAATGCTGAGGTGCGTGGAGCATCCCACAGGAGTGCATGGGGCCCTCCACATGCTTGGCAGCAGGCCCGGAAGTAGACCAGAAGTACTTCTGGTCCATGTCCGGGTCTGCCAGGGAGCGTGCTGCCCCCCCCCCCACACACACACACACCTCCCCAGCTCAGCGTTTGGCTGGGACCTCAGGTGCCCCCCCAGACCCAGGAGGCACCAGTCACCAAGCCAAGAGAGAGTGTAGGGGGGCCCCCTGCACACTCCCCGGCAGACCTGGAAGTGGACCAGAAGTGCTTCTGGTCCACTTCTGGGTCTGCTGCCAAGTGCACTGGGGCGCCCCCCACACTGCTGTGGTACACTCCATGTGCCCCACCATCGCAGCATTCACAAGGTGTCTGCTACCTAGAGGGATGTAGAAAAAACATTTAAAGCTGTCTATCTGTCCAGATTTCCAAATCTTTCTGAATCTCTCCAAATCAATTCAGAGGGTTCCAGTTCAATTCAGAGAGATTAAAGAGTTTCCTGATTCGATTCGGATTCGGAGATTTGGCCACCGAATCAAGCCAAATCTCTGCTGAATCAAATCGGGGACCAAAGCTTCACACAGCCCTAGAAATTACCACAGCCAATTCCTTCAGTGCTCTAGGTATATCCCATCCAGCCCTGTTTGAAAGTAATTTCAAGTCATTGACTAAGCAATCCCTAACCTGGTCTACCACTACTCTAGGCTGTTTGCCTCCTTCCCTATCTTTGCTGCCAACATGACTTGTCATCCGGTATCAGACTTTATTCCTGAAGACTGAATTTAAAAAGGCATTAAACACTTCAGCCTTCTCTGCATCCTCCATAACTAGATTGCTTTCGCATACTGCAAGAGACCTACAGTTTCTTGGGTCTTCCTCTTACATCTGATATATTTCTAGAATCCCTTGTTATAGCCTTTTACAGCCCTTGCCAGTTACATTTCAAATCATGCCTTGGCCGCCTTGATTTTCAATCTGCATGCCCGCATAATACTCTTATGTTCTTCTCTGGTACTATGACACAGTTTCCACTTCTTGTAGGAATCCTTTTTTAATTTCAACTCATTGAAGAGATTGTTGTTCATCCAGGCCAGTCTCCTCTTGCACATTTTTTCTTTAGTTGTATTGGGATAGCTTGCTCCTGAACCTTTAATATGGCCACCTTAAAGTACAGCCAACTCTCCTAGACTCCTTTCCCCATCAGACCTGCTTTCCAGGGGATCCTCCCCCCCAGTTCCTTGAGTTTGTTAAAATCTGCTTTTCTGAGGTCCAGTGTTTTTATTCTGCTGCTTTCCTTCCATCCTTTCCTTAGGGTTTTGAATAGTATCATTTCATGGTCACTGTCACCCAAGACTACTTCCTCCTTCACATTCTCAACTAATTCCTGCCTGTTGGTGAGTGGCAAGTTGAAAAGAGCTTACTGCCTAGGTGGCCTCCTCACCACCTGTACCAAAAAGTTATCCCCAACACAAACCAAGAACTTGCTGGACTGCCTGTGCACTGCTGAGTTTCCTTTGTAGCAGATGTTATGAGACCCCAGTTCTGTGATTTGGAAACTTCTGTTAGCTGTTTAAAGAAAGCATCATCCACCTCTTCTTCCTCATTTGGTTACCGATAGCAGATGCCCACTGTGTCATCACCCCTGCTGGTTTCCCCTCTGCCCTTTATTCAAGAGCTTTCAACAGGCCTATTCCTTGCTTCATACTACCCTTCAGAATACATGTACCACATACAGAGCCACAGACTCTGGTTCAGAGGAGTGATAAGAAACAAAGCCCATTAACCTCAACAGGACCCTTCCCATGAACTTGAAGATACAGAGTTAACCTAGCCCTGCCTACTTGAATGATAGGAAGGCAGTCTGCATTTATTTGTGCCTTTGCCTCATGTATCACAGACCAACCTGTTGCAGAGCCTTCCTTTAAAGATTGAGAGAACTAATCAAGAACTCTGTTTCCACACCATCTTTATCATCCTAACCTTGTTCTCCAACAGTAGATTCATACAACTATTCTGTTTTTATAATACTTTGTTATTTTGTGCTGAGAGCAACACACACTTGCAAAACAGTTGCCTGCAAGACACTGCACTTCTGATGTTGGACACATTTATGTTGTATGGCAATTGCCTGTACATTTATTACAAGCAAGTCTGGGCTCTGCCCTGAATTTACCAGTACATTCTGTCTTTATGCCTCTATTGTTAACTGGATGCATACCCATCCTTTCACCACTTGCCAACTCTTAGAGTAGAAAATAGAGTTGTCACTTGGTTTGAAAATATCCAGATTTCTAAGTCAAGTCTCTTTTTAAAAGGAACCTCGCTTGGACTGTATTATCAGTTATATTTAACAAATAAATTAATCCCTAAATAATTTATCTACATCATTGCCAACATTTGCAAGTTTGTCATATCTCTCAACATCTGGAGTATTTCTTAGAGGAAGAATCTCAGCTTTCATAAAAAAGTACATTTCTGACCCATACAGTTGTGGAGAAAAACTTGAAAACATGACTCAAGTGTACTCTAACCTAAAAAGAAAGTAAGGTGACTAAATAGACCCCAACGTACATTATTGTATACAACCCCTTGATTTGTACACCAATTTAATGACATTTTGGGTCTTGCTCAGGATTTTTGAATGTGTGGGCTTGGCAAGTCTGTATCCCTTAAACTGCCCAAACTGTCACAGCTCTTGGCTTTGCTACCTCTGACTGTATGGTGATGGTTAGTGGTCTCATGTGGCAGCCAGCTTCTTGCAGTGAGAATGTGCCTTTTCTAACAGGTAGTTTTTTCTGGACCAATGGAATCTGGACATGTCGGAGTATGTTATGGGACATCCTGCTGGTTTCCAGTACTCCTGGCTCTGTTACATGTAGCCTAGAAGATTTCACCTGCCTTCTCTGCAGTATAATTCACTCCCAGAAATAGTCAAAAGCAATGTGACTATGCCTTCTGGATTAAATTTAATTCTGATACCACATAATAAAAGAGGATACACGCTGGGAAAAGACGGTTTGTATTGCCTGTTGCCAATCACATGACATGAGTTAGGCATACAAAAGGTCATTTAACCATCATGGTGCAGGGTTAGGCACTGAGTGAAGCAGCTGCTAGGGCCACAAGTCACCTTATCAGAGAAAGACCCAAGCCAACTGGCATTTTTCCGCCCAGCAGGACTGGATCCTGTTTGTACCCCGTAGGGTTAAAGCAGCACACAGCTTACTCAGCTGTAATTCTAGTTATCTGTTTTGTAAATGGTCCCCAGGTCCTGCAGGCAAGAGCAGAAGGTAGCCGGCTCATCTTTCATTCCAGTGTCCTTCAGGGCTGACTGTTACCACAGCAATCTTGAAGGCAGACCGCAGCAAGCCTGGGGGCTATTATTTCACTGCAATATTGAAACTGCAGCTGATCTGACAGCAGCCAGGCTCAGTCTCATTTTCTCATGATCCCTTCACCTTTCCTTCAGCTGAGTGGGTGACATGCCAGTTTGGACCATGGCTGCTGGCTGCCTGGCTGGCAGGGCGTGGGGAAGGAAGCTGAAGAGCAGCTGGGCCTATCTCGCAGCTCCTCTAACTCAGAGGCTGAGCCTGATGCCACCTCTGGGATGTTCTCCAGCCACCAACTTGCCACAGTCAACAGTTTTCAAGTACAGGGGGGAAAAAAACTCAGCATAGAAACATCCCCCTTTATCTCCACCTCTGTTGGGCACTTGACTTTAATTGATGCCCCACTGGAGTCTGGGTTTACTGAATGGAGCTGAGTTCTCCAAAGCTGTTTGCATTTTTAACCAGTTCTGTGTCTCTTGTTTTTATTCTCCACAAACTGATTACACAATGGGAAATCCTCTGGGTACAGTCTATGTTAACACCAGATGGCCTCCATCTTCCTCCCCCACCCCAGCTTGCCCCCTCTGCAAAACAATCGCACAATAAGGGCCTACACACTACAGCAAGGGAAATCTCAGGAAAGTGAGACACATACATGTAGGGTGCACTTAAAAGTTTCTCTGGGCTGTTCATTGTATATATAGTACATCACACTAGACACCTTCTGGAGTGTATTGTTTCTGTACAGTATATGCTGCAAACCCTTTAACATGGTCAAAACAGACAAAACAGGGTAATTTTGTCTGACCTTGTCAGTTGGGATTTTGCTGTGCAAACCCAGTGGTAATTGTGCCCCAGGTCTCATTTGCTGCTTCCTTGAAGTTGGCGGCATCCAAGAGAGTGGGCTGTCAGAGAAAGTAATCCTGTTTTGTCCCAGCAATGTTTTCTCATGTCTGTGCTAGAGTGTGTATACCAAGAGGCTTAGCTAAGCTGAGTTCACAACATGAAAGGACAATTTAAGCTACATCTTACATGTTTTTATCTTCACTCTTCTGGCCTGAATCCAAGATTATTTACCAGATACGGAGGGAGGAGATGGGAAATGATGTCGAGATGAAAAAAATTCTGGTTTGAAAGGGCAAGAAATATGACCCACTTTTTTGCATTATATAAACTATCCAGCCAACCCAGCAATGAGAGGAAATGCTCTGCCTCAGATCAAGTCCCATCAAAAAGCATCCAGCCTAAGCCACCAAAAGGCTGGCTTTAGAAGATGCAGCAATTGGCCAAAATCAATCCCACCCAGCATGCCTGGAATGGAAAGCTTATGGCTACAATTTCTTGAAGGCACAATGCCAAGATGGAGGCATCCTCTTGTGAATACACAGAGCAAAGCTAAGCCACAAACTAAAGGAAAAGGTTAAATCCTGTCCCCAGCGTCACTGGCAAAACAAAGGCAAAATTCCCATTGGCTCCTGGAGGCCACGGTTTTCACCCAGAGGATGAGACCAGCAGGATATACCAGCACAGTTCTATGCTCCTGGATGCCACCAGATGCCACCATCATTCTGCACCAGCTGAAGACCTGACCCAAATGGTCAAATATTTCAGTTCTTATTCAGGTAAAAGCCACCCTCATTTTCATGGGTGCAGCACCTACAGACATGGTGCCAAAGACAGATGACAGTGGGAGTTGCACCTAGGTAACAGCCAAATTTTCCTCTACTGCAACTCTGAAAAGCTGATAAGCTTAACACCAAGAACACGGCTGTACCTTTGAGGAGCTTAGCTTGACTAAGGCCTAAAAGAGCCATCTCTACCTGATTGTTTCTAGGAAAAAAATCAGTTTTGGCAGGCAATTGCTGGCTGTCCTGTAATCTAACTGGTTTGTGCAGAAAGGCAATATTATTTGCCAGAGCCCAGATCAGGGAGAAGACCTGGCTCCTGTTCCTAGATCTACCACTGACTTGGGGTATGATCATCACTTACACTTCCCTCCATCTCAGCCTCTCCATCTGTTAAATGGTAATAATGGCACTTTTTGCCATGCAGTCTTAGATCTTTGGAGATACAATACTACCAGTGCACAAGTGCCAAGTTTGGCTATTACCCTGCTAGTATTAATACATCTAGACTGTAATGCCCCAAGCCAAAAAATCATAAACAAAAGCACAAGGAGGCAAGATTCCCATGACCCAGGCACTATAATACATATTTATATTTTAATCCAACTCCAGCTGGGGATGTTGCCAGTTATCTGGAAGTCATTTGGATGGTTAATCATCTAGCAGTATCTGTCTAGAGCTTCCTGGATAGAATGCATACTTTACCCACTCGACTCGATTTCCATTTCTGCCACAGTTGTAAATTCCAAGTCAGCCACCAGAGGAAATTCAGTATAAAAACAACAGTCCTGGATGTCTCGGTTTTGGCCAGGCATGCCCAGCCTGCAGCCAGCACTGCATCTCTTCATGTAAATTCCTTTCACGTGTCAGGAAAAACGTGATTTCCTCTCCAGCCATTCAAGATTCTTTCCTCCATCTGCTGTCTGTTAACATCTGCAGGCAGCATGGGATGATTCTCATCTGAAATGGCCTACTCTTGAAGGCTGATCAGCTGATGTGCAGGTCCCAGTTCCAGATACCTTCTGTTGCTGCGCAAAGCAAAAGGAAGAGGAATGAAAAGGAGGAAATTTGTTTGCTAGTTAGAGCAGGAGGCCTGGGCAGCAGATTGCCTGTTTTCTTTATCTAACTCTGCCACTAACTTGCTATGTCACCTTGAGTTTGTCATCTATGTTCTCTGAAGCTCTGTTTGTTCACATGTAGAAAGGACAAAATACTACTCAAAATATTTTGAGGTCTTCACTGAAAGCGTAAACTTTTAGTCTTAACATGACTGGATAATTCTCTGTAGTCAGGTACATAACCAGGATGGTATATAGAGAAGGTAATGCTAGGAAGGAGTTAAAAAAAGCACTTCTGTTTGCTGAATTCTCATCACCTGCCATAGCTGGTGCTCTAGAGACTAATTCTTCCAGAGCTGCTGAAGTTGTCGGTAGAAATGGTTCCGAGTCAAAATCCTGTAACTTTGTTGAGGGAGGACTTAAGCTTTGCAAATGGTCCCTGATTTGATAGACTGAGTTATAGCCACAGAAGTGAACACCACCAAGCCCCAGTTCACACACCACAGTTTAAGTCTATCTTGGAGCTTTCAAGGATTTACGTGGTTCTGGTTATGAACCTAGTTTGGTGAAACTGAACAAATATCAGACTGTTACATAAATGAGATGGATAAACATTGGTCTTTCCTGATACAGAGTCCCACAGTATCCCTCTGGAACCTGAAGGCATTGTCTGTGTCTATGCTGCTTCATTGCAAAACCCAGAGAAACAAGCTTGGTCCACTCACTCCCACTCTGCCATACCCCACCCTGACCTTTTGGCAGGATTGAGAGTTTAGAGGGATCCTAAGTATGTGGCCAAGCGTTGCTCTCAGGCTTTCCCTCTCACAAGATAGAGCCTCAAGGACCAACAGTTTCACCATGAATGGCTCCCAGAAAGACAGTCAGTGGCCAAGGGGCACACCTTCCATTGGAGGTAGCATGTCTGCAATGTTAAATGAATCTGTGCTAATAGAGAGTGAAGGCAGAGCCACTGACTGAGCTGCTCCAGTGTACACAAGTTGATAAGTTTTTCCTAGTGAGCACTTAGGCCTTCACATCCTTGGGGAAAGTATCAGTCTGAGTAAGTACCCACGAGGAGAGCAGAGAGTACACACCTCAAGGTCATACCTTGCATTTCCTCGCATTGAAAGGGGAGCAATCATGTCCAGCTTCTGGGATCAGAGGGACTACTCTTTCAGAGAGGCCAAATACTCCCGGCTCCTCTTTATGTCTTTTTGTTTGTTCAACGCTTTTGAGAATCAGACCCAATCCAGGTTGCTGGCTGGAGGGCTTTGTTATTGAATGACAAATGATTCATCATAACAGAAGAGCAATATGAGCCGAGTAGACCAGAGACCCTCTGCTGATTAAATATAAGGGCTAGGTACAGACATATAAAAAAGCCCGAGGCAGAATCGACCTAAGTTATGCAGTTTTCTATAAGCGGCATAGTTTAGATCGATAGCAAACAGAACACACATTCACCCTTTGATGGGGTGAGAGGGAGACCAAATCTTAGACTGGGTTCTGCCATTTTTAAAGCAATCTGTGGGCAGGGCACATCTACACATTGCTGTAAGACAACAGTGCTACAGCGCTGTGCTTTAGTACTTCCTTTAGTACTTTTCTAAAACAAAGTACTAAAGCATGGCACAGTATGGGTGGTTACTGTGCTGTGCACATGGCACATGGGTAAATTTTGCCACTACGTCACTGAAGCAATGCACTATACCCAGGGAGTGCACCACCACAACAATATAGCTGGTGATCACGTGTAGACATGTGTAATCACTATGTCAGTGTAGCACGCCATACAGGGACATGTAGATGCACCCTGTGTGCGCCAAACTTCTGTTCTGTTACAGGTTTAGACTGGTTTCCAATCACTTATACCCATAAAAGTGTAATGTCTGTACCTGACCAAGATGCGTGGGCTTCTGCTGAGACCAGTAGACTAGGACTCTGAAGATCTCAGCTGAATGACTCATTGTATCTAAGAATTCTTTAGGCAAGTGGATTACCGTATCCTGTGAAATGTGTCACCATGCAGGGGAACCAAAAGTCTATAAAATCGTTTAATGATTCTAGGGCTCCATGGTAATAAAGGCCACATGAGTACTGATATGGTTAGAGAAAGTATGAAGCATAATACAAGTTGTGTTTCCTAGAAAGAGGGTGCATCTACACTTTCATTAATGCTCTCTAGTTACTGCACATTAAGCTTATTGACTGCATAGTAACTTGCACTACTGCACAGTAGCACCGGTGAACAGGGGTTTTTTGATGCTTACTGCACAGTAGCCTAACAACACTGTGCAGTAATGTATTAGCACAGTTTTTGACTGGCATGCTATTGTACAATGTTATTAGGGTACTGCACAGTAAGCATCCCGTGTAGATGCGCCTAGAGAAATGTATTGGGAAACTCTTGATCTCACATGGCATTGGTGTCTAACTGCCTTGCTACAGTTATTGCCATGTCACCTCTCTTTCTAGGTTTTGTAAAGGAAGAAGCAGCTCACCTTGGAGCTTGATCGCTCTGAAGCAGCTTGCAGGCAGTTCACTTGCCAGTTTGCAGACCAGTTTACCTCCTCCTTCCACTTTCAACTTGGTGTGAGGAAGGCGGGAAAAAGGAACTCTTTGGGGCCAAGGAACAGTATACAGGCCAGCTTTCAGGTGAGCTTGCTAGGGAAAGTGTGCTTGGAAGAAGGGCAGTAAGAAAGAAGAGGCAGATTAAGAGACACAGGGAAATGGCTGGAGGATGTTGCAATGCTGGACCCACTGCCTCTGCTTACACCTGTGAGGTTCCTGTCCATGAAGGACCACTCACCATCAAGACTTCCACCCAGGTCCAGGTTTGGTGCTGTGGAGATGGCAGCTTGCAGGTTCCTTCCAGTGACAGCCAGGTGGGGCACTGCCTGTGATGTGAGTGCTGCCCCCTGGTGGTGTGTCTCAGAGAACAGGCAAGAGAGCTACAGGAGGAGGTGGTGAGGCTCCAAAGCATCCTCTGTTATGAGGAGTTAATTGATTCAATGCTAATGGAGACCTCCAGGACTGTGAAGGAAGAACTGCCAGAGGCAGCACTAGAGAAGTGAGAGGACACAGACTCCCAGGAAGGTGGAAGCTGGAAGCTTGTGGTCTCTGGCAGCAAGCAGAAATCTTCATCTCCATCAGCAGCATTTCATCTGGAGAATGGATATGGAGCCTTAGCAACAGAGGGAGAGGAGCATGTTCCATTGGTGCACGAGGACAGGGCAAGGATCCCCAAGGTGGGAAGGATCGAGACTACCACCACCACCAAGAAGAAGCAATGGGTGGTAGTGGTTGGAGACTCTGTTTTGCAGGGGATATAGGGATCCATCTGCTGACCTGACATGTTGTCTCAGGAAGTCTGTTGCTTGCCAGAAGCCCAGATCCAAGATGTCATGGAGGGATTACCAAGATTCATCCAGCCCCATGCTGCTCATCCATGTGGGCACCAATGACACTGCCGGGGAAGACCCTGAGCAGATCAAAAATAACTACAGGGCTCTGGGTGAAGGGGTTGGGGCTCAGGTGGCTCTTCAATCCTTCTGGTCAAGGGAAAGGGATCAGGCAGGAGCAGGTGCATCCTGAAGTTCATTGCCTGGATGTTCAGGTAGTGTCACAAGCAGGGCTTTGGCTTCTTTGACCACAAGATGATAGTCCAAGAAGAAGGATTGCTAGGAAGAAATGGGATCCACCTGATGAAGAGAGAGAAGAGCATCTTCACAAGACAGGCTTGCTTACCTAGTGAGGGGTTTAAAGTAGGTTCACTGGGGGATGGAGGCCAAAGCCATTTGGGGCAAGTAGGGAAGTGGGTGCCCTGGAGGAAGAGCAAGCAGGAGGGGGCAGCAGAGGAGATGTTCTAATTCTTCCTGAGAAATTTGGCAATTGACTAGTTACCTTAGGTGCCTGAACACAAATGCACGGAGCCTGGGAAACAAACAGGAAGAATTGGAAGTCCCTGCACAGTCACGGGATTATGACATGACTGAAATAACAGAGCCTTGGCGGGAGCTCACATGACTTGGAGCACTGTCATGGATGGGTACAAACAGTTCAGAAAGGACAGGCAGGGGAGAAGAGGAAGAGGAGTTGCACTTTCTGTAAAGAGCCATATGATTGCTCAGAGCTCCAGTATGAAACTGGAGACAGGCCTGTTGAGAGTCTCTGGGTTAGGGTCAGAGGAGAGAGTAACAAGGGTGATGTGGTGGGGGTCTGCTGCAGACCACCAGACCAGGAGGAAGGGGTGGACGAAGCTTTCTTCAAACAACTAGCAGAAGTTTCTCGATCGCAGGCCCTAGTTCTCATGGGAGACTTCAGTCACCCCGACATCTGCTGGCAGGGCAATACAGCAGTGCACAGGCAATCCAGGAAGATTTTGGGGAGTACAAAGGACAACTTCCTGGTGCAAGTGCTGGAGCTAGGGGCTGTGCTCTTCTTGACCTGCTGCTCACAAACAGGGTTGAATTGGTGGGGAATGTACTAGTAGATGGCAACTTGGGCAGCAGTGACCATGAGATGATTGAGTTCAGGATCCTGAGGAAAAGAAGGATGGAGAGCAGCAGAGTAAAGACCCTGGACTTCAGAAAAGCTGACTTGGGCTCGCTCAGGGAACTCATGGGCAGGATCCCCTGGGAAGCCAGTCTGGGGAAGAAAGGAGTACAAGACAGCTGGCTGTATTTGAAAGAAGTCTTACTGAGAGTGCAGGAACAAACCATCCTGATGTGCAGGAAGAATAGCAAGTGTGGCAAAAGACCAGCATGGCTTAACAGGGAACTCTTTAGTAAATTAAATCACAAAAAGGAAGCGTATAAGAAGTGGAAACTTGGACAAATACTAGGGAGGAGTATAAGAGCATTGATCAGGCACGTAGGGTAGGGCGGTGCAAAGCTTTGGGTGCTGATTTGAGTTGGTGGCTGGATCTCCCAATCCAAATCCAATCAGAGAACCAATTAAATGGTCTGAAT